GATTGCGGAGATCGATCGAGCCTCTATCCACTTTGTAAACTTGTCTATGGCGACAAGCAAGTACGTATAGCCCCTGGGTGCCCTCTTGAGAGGTATGACCAGATCGAGCCCCCAGACCACAAATGGCCACGTGATGGGGATCATTTGGAGTGCTTGGGCCGGTAGGTGGGTCTGCCGAGCATGGTATTGACACCCTTCTTAGGTGCGCACAATCTGTTCAGCATCGGCTACTATGGTCGGCCAGTAGAAGCTTTGTCAAAACACATTTCTGACCAGGGTCCTAGGTGCGACATGGTGCCCACAGACCCCATCGTGGATGTCACTCAGTAACTGCTTCCCTTGTTCGATGGGGAAGCAGCGCTACAGGATCCCGGTGTGGCTTTGTCTATAGAGCTTGCCCTAAATAACGACAAAGGACTTGGCGCGACACGTGAGCCACCGAGCCTTCGTTTTGTCCATCCGCAGAGCCTCATGGAGAAGGTAGTCGAGGTAAGGCGTCCTCTAGTTGGCCAGAGGGTCAGGCGCTGTCGCTGGATCCTTGTCGAGCTCCATAACTTTAGGGTCGGATGGAGCCACCGGCTGGTTAGACGCTGAGCCCAGGGCAGGCGGCCATCACTAGTCTATTCTGGCTCCTCATAGCAGACCAAGGGCTTGTACTGATCACTAGCGAAGACACCCGTCGGCACCGGCTCTTGGCCGGATGCTATTTTTGCCAGCGTGTCGGCTGCCTTGTTAAGATGCCTCAGGATGTGATTGAGCTCGAGACCATCGAACTTGTCCTCCAGCTGGTAGACTTCTCGACAATATGTAGCTATCTTGGCATTGTGGTAGCTTGATTCCTTCATGACTTGGTCGATGACCAGCTAGGAGATGCCCCGGACGTCAAGCCGTCGGATACCCAACTCGATGGCGATGCGTAGGCCATTGATGAGTGCCTCATACTCGGCCACATTATTGGAGGAGGGGAAATGGATGCGAACCATGTACCTCATGCGTACCCCGAGGGGCAAAACAAAGACCAGCCCCGCACCAGCGCCTTTCTTCATCAGCGATCCATCAAAGTACATTGTCCAGTACTCTTGGTCGATGACTGCTGGCGGCATTTGGATCTCAGTCCTCTCTGCAATGAAATCAGCCAGCACTTGGGACTTGATGTCTGTCCAAGGGGCATATGAAATGCCTTGACCCAATAGCTCGAGTGCCCACTTCACGATTCTTCCAATGGCATCCTAGTTTTGGACGACCTCACCAAGAGGGAAGGATGTCACGACCGTCACTGGATGTGACTTGAAGTAGTGACGCAACTTCCTCTTGGCGATAAGGACGGCGTACAGGAGTTTCTGAATTTGGGGGCAGCGAGTCTTGGAATCAGACAATACCTCACTAATGAAGTACACAGGACGCTGCACTTTGAGGGCGTGTCCCTCTTCTTCTCGCTCTACCACTAGGGCGGCACTGACCACTTGCGTGGTGGCCATAATGTAGAGCAGAAGCGGTTCCCCATCGGTCGGGGGGGACCAGGATTGGAGCCTTCGTCAGGAGTTGCTTGACCTTGTCAAGTGCCTCCTAGGCCTCGGGCGTCCATTCGAAATGATTGGCTTTCTTCAGAAGCTGATAGAGGGGGAGACCTCGTTCATCGAGATGCGAGATAAAATGGCGGAGAGCGGCGAGGCACCCTGTAACTCGCTGTACCCCTTTATGTTCTAAATCGGGCCCATCCTCGTGATGGCCAAAATCTTCTCCGGGTTGGCATCAATGCCACGCTCAGAGACGATAAAACCCAGCAGCATACCCCTCGGGACCGCGAAAATGCACTTCTCGGGGTTGAGTTTGATGCCGTTTGCTCAGAGTTTCGCAAAGGTCTGCTCTTGGTCGGCTACAACCTGGTTAGCCCATTTGGACTTGACCACGATGTCATCCACGTAGGCCTCAACGGTTTGCCCGATGAGATCCTCGAAACACTTCAGCATGCAGCGTTGGTATGTAGCCCCTGTGTTCTTTAGGCTAAATGGCATTGTGACATAGCAGAACGATCCGAATGGGGTGATGAAAGAAGTCACCAGCTGATCGGACTCTTTCATCGTGATTTGATGGTACCCGGATTACGCATCAAGGAAGCAAAGGGTTTCGCACCCTGAGGTCGAGTCGACTACTTGGTCTATACGTGGCAAAGGAAATGGATCCTTTGGACACGCTTTGTTGAGACCCATGTAGTCAACACACATTCTCCATTTTCCACTCTTTTTCGTACAAGAACGGGATTGGCTAACCACTCGGGGTGGTATACTTCCTTGATGAACCTGGCCGCCAAAAGCTTCGCAATCTCCTCGCCGATGGCCCTGCATTTCTCCTTGTCGAAGCAACGTAGGCGCTGCTTCACCGGCTTGGAGCCTGGCCTGATCTTCATGGCATGCTCGGCGACTTCTCTCGGAATGCCTGGCATGTTTGAGGGTCTCCATGCAAAGATGTCTCTAATGGCGCGGAGGAAGGCGGCGAGCGCGCTTTCCTATTCGGAGGAAAGCGTGTTGCCGATGCGCACCACTTTGCCCTAGAGCCATTGGGGTCTATGAGGACCTCCTTGGCACCCTCTATAGGGTCAAAAGACCTGGCCGACCGCTTCTTCGATGACCTCCTCCTAGATGGCCGCAAGCTCTTTGGAGGCAACAATTGTCACGGTGTGTTCGCAGCACTTGACCTCACACTCGTAGGCACGCTGGAAGGAGGTACCGATGGCGATGACCCCGCATGGACCCGGCATCTTCAACTTCAGATAGGTGTAGTTGGGGACAGCCATAAACTTCGCGTAGCATGGACGTCCTAGGATGGTGTGGTAGGTCCCGTGGAACCCGACCACCTCGAAGGTAAGGGTCTCCGTCCTACAATTGGTTGGATTCTCGAAGGTGACGGGAAGATCGATCTACCCAAGTGGCATGGCCTGCTTTCTAGGCATGATGCCGTGGAAAGGCGCCCCGATCGACCGGATGTGCGATCGATAGATGCCCATGGCGTCGAGCGTTTCAGCGTACATGATGTTGAGGCCGCTGTCTCCATCCATCAGTACCTTGGTGAGCCGCTTCGTGCCGATGATCGGGTCAACCACGAGCGGATATCTTTCCGGCCGTGGGACGTTTTCCGGGTGGTTGGTCCGATAAAAGGTTATGGCGGACTCCGACCATTGGAGGAAGGAAGGCGTGGCCGGCTTGGCCGTATAGACCTCGTGGCGCGCAAGCATCTGGCGGCGCCTAGAGTCATAGGCCGCTAACCCTCCAAAGATCATGAGGCAGCCATCTAGCGCCGGAAATCCACTGTCCTTCCCCTCAGCGTCGTCTACGGCCGGCTTGGGCTCCTTCCTATGCTCTCTCTTGTTGGAGCCTCTGGACAAGAACCGCTTCATGGGGACACAATCCTTTTATAGGTGCTTGACGGGGAAAGCATGGTTTGTGCATGGCCCTTCTAGCAACTTCTCGAAGTGGACCGGGGTACCTTCGGCTGGCTTCCGAACCCCCTTACGGTTGGTAGTGGCCACGAGCGAGCCCTCGTGTCGCTGCTTGTTCTTCTTCTTGTTGGGGCGGTTGGAGGCACCATCGCCGACGTCCTCGTCCCGACGGCTCCACGCCGCGGTCCTGTTCATCACTGGCGCCATGCGCAGGCGTCATCTGCTAGTCATGGCATTCCACTCCGTCCCAGCGGGCGTCGTGGTGAACTGACGCGCCTGTTAGCGTCCGTACGAGGGTTAGGCAGAACAGCACCGGCACGCCCGACACTGTTCTTGATGTGAATCCCTAGGTATGGCCCGTCATGGCCATGGGTTACATCGAGGCGTGCCAACCTCTTTCTTGGCGTCAGAGTTTTGACCCAGGCCCATACGCTTGGACCTAGAGTGGTTGGCGGCAGTATGGGTCCCCGTCGGATGAGACGGAAACCGCGTCCTTGGGGTCGGGCGAGACGGAGTCCGCACCCAAGGGGTCTGACGAGACGGAGCCCCGCGGCCTTAGGCGAGACAGAAACCGCGTCCTTGGGGTCGGGTGAGACGGAGCCCGCACCTAAGGGGTGGGCGAGATGGAGCCCGCTTCCTAGGGGCCGGACGAGGTAGAGCCCGCACCCAAAGGGTCGGGCTAGCGGAGCCCGTGGCCTCGAGGTCGGGCGAGGCGGATCCCGCGACCTCGGGGTCGGGCGAGGCGGAGCCCGCGGCCTCGAGGTCAGGCGAGATGAAGCCTGCCACCTCGGGGTCGGGCGAGACCTTTTAATACGTTTTGAGCCATCCGGGGAGTCAGCGTGGACGCTAACTCCCTTGCTTTGGGTATCCCTAATATCGATACCCAACAAGGCGTCGAGAGGAAGGTAAACAATAACAAACTCATTCTCGATGGTTGTTACCCTGATTCTCGAGTTCTTCTTCATCTGTGTGAAGAACACCTTCGCCTGTTCTTGTTCCGTCTAGACTTGTAGTAGAAGCAGCGACGCCCGCGAACTCGTCTCAGCGAAGAAGGAGCGTGCCTCGCAGGAGAGACAGCGATGCCGGCGATCTTCTCTGGCCATGCTCGTTCGTGGAGATGACGCCGACGGTCTACAGTGAAAACGACGTGCAACTACATCATCGGCCATCGACGTCTTCTTGCTTTCTGGCCCGTAACCAGCGGAGAGCAAACGTGCGTGATATCGTGTTAGAAGTAGAGAGCGAGACAAAAGCGAGAGATGTAAATGATTCTATATTATATTCCCAATGAACAATGTGTACATATATATATACAGAGCTCATGTGGGCGGTTACAAGTGTGAAAGAGAGAGAGGAAAAGACACCCTTAGATTAATTCCTAATTGATCACTAAATAATAATTCTTAACAATATAAGAAGAAATGTACCAACCTGAATGGAATCTTTTACTCCATAGTAGCCATAATTGTCGCGCTATAACCACAGCCAGAAGTTAAACTCGGAACGCCCCTCACCACCGCTGTTGGACGGGCGTCCGGCGCGATCGTATACTTCACCGACCATCATGGCACCGCCGTCGAGGGCAGGGCACGCAGCTGCCGTCGTTTCCGTGTCCCTCCTCATTCTCGCCGTAGCACCGTCGTCCACCACCGGTATCGGCGTCAACTACGGCACCAAGGGCGACAACCTCCCGCCGCCGGCCACGGTGGCGTCGTTCCTGGCCAACCGCACCCGCATCGACCGCGTGAAGCTCTTCGACACGAACCTGGACATGGTCCGCGCCTTCGCCGGCACGGGCATCGCGCTCATGGTGACCGCGGGCAACGGCGACATCCCCAAGCTGGAGACCAAGGACGGCGCGGCGGCGTGGGTGGCCTCCAACGTGGCGCCGTACTACCCCTCGACGGACATCTCGCTCGTCCTCGTCGGGAACGAGATCATGGACACGGGCGACAAGGCGCTCATCTCGAACCTGGTGCCCGCCATGCGCTCGCTCAAGGCGGCGCTGGTGGCGGCGGGTTTCCCCAAGATCCGCGTCTCCACGCCGCACTCCCTGGGCATCCTGGCCGGCGCGTCGGAGCCGCCGTCCGCTAGCCGGTTCCGCGACGGCTGGGACCGCGCCGTGTTCGCGCCGATGCTGGCGTTCCACCGGTAGAGCAGGTCGCCGTTCATGGTGAACCCGTACCCGTACTTCGGGTACAACGGCGCGACGCTGCCATACGCGCTGGCACGGCCCGACAACCACCTGGGCGTGACGGACCCCGGCACGGGCATCACGTACACCAGCATGTTCGAGGCGCAGCTGGACTCGGTGTTTTCGGCGATGAAGAAGCTCGGGTTCGACGACGTGGAGATCGCGGTGGGCGAGACCGGTTGGCCGACCAAGGCGATGGACGGGCAGATCGGCGTGAGTAACGCCGAGGCGGCAGAGTACAACCGGTACCTCATCGGCGAGGCCGGCGGCGGGTCGGGCACGCCGCTGATGCCCAAGCGCACGTTCGAGACGTACATCTTCGCGCTCTTCAACGAGAACCTCAAGCCCGGCCCCGTCGCCGAGCGCAACTTCGGCCTGTTCTACGCCAACCTCACGCCGGTGTACGACGTCGGCCTCATGAGGTTCTCGTTGAAGAGCGCGAAGATGACGTCTCATGACGGGCACACGTTGGCATGGCATTGGTGCGTGTTCTGACGGGCGTACGTCTCTGCGCTGCGCAATGCAGGTGAAGACAGGGGCTGCACCGGCGCCGGCGCCGGCAGCCACTCTGGCGTCCGCCCCTGAATCCAAGGCTGCCAAGAAAGATGACGTGGAGGCGGCCACGGCACCGGAAGAGACGGCCGCATCCGCGTCGGCGCCTGCGCCGTCGTCTGTGGACGACGAAGGTTCATCCGAGGCCACCGGACCATCGCCGTCGTCAGAGGCGCCATCTCAGAGTGATTCGACCGACGAAGACAAGACGCCGGTTCGCTGACATGCTGGTCCTTTATTTGTCGATTGTGACTGCAATTGTCGCAGCAGGAATTTTGACTTCCCTTGTGCCTGGCTGACCGTGTGCAGGAGGGGGAAGGAGGGGATGCGCCGCCACCGGCGACGGCAGCGTCCAGCGGGCCGGCCGATGAGTCGTCGGAGACAGCAGCAAAGGTATGCTCGTGTCGTGCATGCATGCAGCATTGGCCTCGCCGCTTTTGGACGCATTTCGCGTTCAATCGTCATTCATTGTCGCATTGAAGGGAAATTAAGACTGAATGGCGTACATCATGCGTTTCATGCTTTCCCTGTGAGCCCTTGTTTAGTTGGACCCTAAAATTAAAAAAGTTATTACAGTATCTGTCACATCGAATGTTTACGGCTTGTGCATGGAGCATTAAATGTAGATGAAAAGAAAAACTAATTGCATAGTTTGGTGGGAAATTGCGAGACAAACGTTTTAAGCCTAATTAGTCAATGTTTGGATATTTGTCAAATAAAAACGAAGGTGCTATAGTAGCCTCAAAATCCAAATTTCGCGAACTAAACAAGGGCTGAAGAGAAATTCGATTCTGCGGCTTTTCTAACTTGATTACTTTTTACAGTTTGAAAACATATATAGTGCGTCATTAGTGCTTAATAGTTTCAACTCTCAATGGACGATTATTCCACAATTTCAAATTAAAAATGTGCCGTGAAGGCATGAAAGCTATGAACTTTGGACTACACACAACACTTTCTGTTGCTTTGATTTCATAATATGCATGCCTTTCAAAATAGTCCACATTGCTTTTGCTGGACTTCTAAGGTCTATATGTTGGTGATGGAATGATGGTCTCTTTTTTGTTGAACAACGGATAAGGACGGCGATGCTGCTGAAAGCGGCGGTAAAACGCCGGCGCCGGCGGGAGCAGCGTCTCACGGCAGCAACCTCCGAGTGCCCGTCTCGTCCGTCCTTACAATTGCTCTGTCGTCTCTACCTCTTGGCATCTAACCTCTCTTCGTTTCGATCGTCGGCCCATTGTGACAATATGTTTAGTACGTAGCTGAGCATGCTGTAAGTATATTGATATGGCCCCCAGGTAGCTGTGTTAAGTTAATAGGATAACACGTCCAAGTAAACTCTGCTTCGTGGGACAATTTTTTTTTCTTGAATGTCTAAAAAAGGGAAGCCATTTGTATGAGGAGAATTTTTCTAGCTACACATTTAGTGCAACGAGGGTGATACATACATGGGATTGGGGCCTAGTAGTAGCCTATACTGATGTCCCTCGTTCAATGTTGTAAAATTGCTCTTAATCGTGTTGTGCCAGCCGGTCAGACAGGCAAAACACAAGGGTTACTGATGTCCCTCGTTCAATGTTGTAAAATGCTATGACACATCTTGCTACAATATTGTGCCGTGTTAGCCCAAGGCACAATAACTATTTGGTAGCGCTCCTAGAGTCTGCTCCAAAGAAGTTGAGAAGTTGGGAGTAGACTATACCAATCTAGCCTTTATTCTTCTCTGAACTCTATGAACGATATGTTATGTATAATACAACTATCACTCCGATGTCATGATGCATATGAACCTATGGCCTGTCATGTTACAAGGTAGTGCCTGTTTGATAGACTAGGACTAACAACTAGTCCTATTAGCTTCTATAAGTGAACTAGTGAACTAACAACTAGTTCATGACTAATAGACTAACAATTAGTCCGCCTGTTTGGATACTTAGGGACTAAAAATTAGCCAACTAGTTGTTAGTTCTACGGATCCAAACAGGGCATCATAATAACTTTTTTAGCGGGTTCATCATGTATACAACATGATGCTAAAAATGTACATATATTTTTGTCTTAAAAACTATAAAAGGTTTTTATGATATCGAGTCACGTTAAAATTATACACCAAAATCTCATTACATACCCAATTAAGAAAACACATTATATGCATGGAAAAGATCAGCAACTAATTGAGTCGTAAACTTTGACGATCTAAAATATGTTACACGCTAACATGTTATATAGTCAAATTTGTGCATATGCTAACTCGATTAAAACTAAGCTACATAATTAAGAATATCTTCTAAAACACACTAAACGTAGCCTCTCACGGACGTGCTAACAGTCTATATGTTCACGTACTATCCGAACACGTAAAATGCATGTTCTAACGTTGAAACACCCTACATGTGCTGCCACATACCTCGGAAAACAGGTTACATGTGCTGCCATGTAGGTTGGGATTTGGGAACGAGAACTTACTCCCCCTCCGTGCCTATTTAAGTGTTATTGTGGAAATTATAAAAAAATTGACTAAATTTCTAGAAAATATTAATAATATTTATATCTGTGAATAAATTTATTATGAAATAGATTGAATTGAACTATCTATCCATGATACTAATTATATACTATAAATATTAACATTTTATTTTATATTTTAGTCAAAGTTAAGTATGTTTGCGGAAAATGAGAATAAAATAGGATAGAGGGAGTACATTAAAGGCATAGATAAAGACAATGGCAATTTACACTAATAAAATTATATAGTGTCCAATTTTGCAAAATAAAAAGATATACCACATGCAATAGATCAAATATGCATCAATTAGATATAGGACCTCTGTTTTGGCTGCTACAAAAAATTAAGAGGGTTTTTTTCGTTCGTTTTCGTGCATTTTCATCTCTAGCTACACCCGCTGCAGCTATAGTTTTTTCTCCACTCACAGTTCACTGCAGCAGCAGCTGCTGCTGCTTTCGAGCCGAACAGCCCCATAGAAAAAAACTTTTATATCTAAAACATTCTTTATTTATCCTATTTTACAAAATTAAAAACTATATAAATAAATACTCTACCTATTACATCTACGAAATTATTAAATGAAGCTCATAGTCATTAGGAAATAATACTACAGCAAAACATATATATATTTTAAATTCTCACATGAGCAAGATTGACCACAGGTCAAAGAAAGCATGGGAAGCCCCACTTGCAGCCCTTGCGCCACTCATCCACGTCACGATATGTGTGGGCCCGTTTCACCCTGACAATTTTTTTTTCCTAGCGTGTAAACCAGTAAACCACGGTTCCACAACGGACAGAAACGTGGGCCTTCTTACGGCCCGCATGGCTGCGGATCACGGACCCCGGCCGCAGCGAAACGCCAGCAGCCACCGTTGGGGTTGGGAGCCTGCACGCTTCTTCTTCCCGCCGCGCCGCCACCCCACCAATCCCCAGTTCCCCACCAAAGACCAAACCGCTTCTCCCTCCTCCAAGGCTCCAATCCCACCTATCCTCCGCAAAATTTCCTGTGATCCGCCGCGCTCTCGATACCCTCTCCGTGGCGCGCTCCCCTCTCTCGCCGCGGCAGAATCGTTTACCCGTCCCAATTCGACCGAGCATGAGCATGACGTTGTCCTGCGCGGGCGCGCGCCTCCACGGCCGCACCGGCGTCGGCGGCGCCAAATGCCGTCCCGGCGCGGCGGCCCTGCTCGGGCGACGGGGCACCTGCTTCCGCCCGACCGCCCCCAGGGGAATCCGCGCCGACCTCCCGCCGCCGCCGCCGCTGCGGGCGAGCGCGGATGGCGGCGCCGCCTCCTCCGGCCCGGCAGTCGCCGTCCCCGAAGCCGGGGACGCTACTGAGCAGGTGGCCGCCGCGGTTGCTCAACCTGTTGTGCTCGCGGAGAGGCTTGACGTCGATGATGGGGCTGGTGGGAATGGCAAGCTCCCGCCCGCCGGTGGTGGCGGCGGTGGGGACGGGGAGAATGGCGGTGGGGGTGACGGTGATGAGGGGGAGGATGAGTTCGGGCCCATCCTTAGCTTCGACCAGGTGGTCCAGGAGGCGGAGAAGCGAGGGGTTAGTCTGCCTAGTTTGCCCGCGGATATGGTTGAGGCGGCCAAGAGCGTTGGGATTCAGAAATTGCTGCTGCTGAGATACATGGACATGCAGGTCTCTTAAAGAGTTCTTGTTATCATACTTGTGTGTTTGCTTGTTTGTAAGTTCTGATGTGTCTGACTTGAAATTGTTTTGTTGTTTGGATTTCAAAGGCGTCGGCTTGGCCCTTGGGACCTGCAATTAGGTCCTGCTCGCTTCTCCGGAACAGGATGCTGGTTGATCCTGCATTCCTCTTCAAAATTGGCACTGAGGTTGGTCCAGTTGTTTACTTCAACTAGTATTGTGCATTTGTGCAATGATACTGACAATTGCCCATCGGTTCAGTTTTCACTGTTTGCTCCATGGTTATGTTGCAGATAGTTATTGATACATGTTGTGCGACATTTGCTGAGGTTCAGAAGAGAGGGGAGGAGTTTTGGTCAGAGTTTGAGTTGTATGCAGCAGATATGTTGGTAGGAGTAGTTGTTAATGTAGCTTTAGTCGGCATGTTAGCGCCATATGCTCGATTCGGTAGCAGATCTGCATCAGAAGGTCTCCTTGGACGCGTTAGGCATGCTTATGATGCCCTCCCAAGCAGGTTTGTTTGTCAACAGAAATTATCCTCCAAAGTTATATCTAAAGCATACCATTCTACAAGTTGTGTGAACCTATTTAGACTATAGAAATTTGTTCATCCAGGAAAAATAATTACTCAAAACAGATAATTATTAGAAGAGATTTTGTCGATGAGTTATATAGGGGCACCAAATACTGCTATCGTGCTTGTTTCATTCTTTCTTTTTTGGTTGGGTGGGGGTTGGTAATTTCCTGCATGGTAAAATGACATCTATGCGGGATCAATAGGAGCAATTTTCTGTGCCACTGAATGGTACACAATGTTTGAGACCACTGATCTGCTGCGAGCCTGTGATAAGAATAAACCATGAAAATGTTCTCAGAATAATTCAATATCATTTTTGCCAGTATCATAATTACCAGTTGGACATGCTATTTTTTTGTACTTAATGACAAGGAAAGAAAATGTAAAATATGGAAAATTATTAAAGCTGGAGGCAAGTTCTATAGAACGGCGATTAGACCGTCTATGTTGTATGGAGCAGAATGTTGGCCTACAAAGATTCGACATGTTCAACAACTGAGTGTTGCAGAAATGCGTATGTTGCGATGGATTTGCGGTCACACAAGAATGGATCGAGTTTGGAACGATGATATACGTGATCGCCTAGAGGTAGCACCACTTGAAGAAAAAGCTTGTCCAACATCGGTCGAGGTGGTATGGCCATGTCCAAAGGAGACCTCCAGAGGCACCAGTGCATTGTGGAGTCCTAAGCCAAGCTAATAATACGAGGAGAGGTAGAGGAAGACCGAAATTGACATGGGGGGAGGCAATAAAAAGAGATTTGAAAGTTTGGGATATACCTAGAGATCTATGTTTGAATAGTAGTACTTGGAAAGCAGCTATTGAAGTGCCTGAACCGTGACCTGGGGCTCTTGGTGGGTTTCAACTCTAACCTACCTCAACTTGCTTGGGACTGAAAGACTATGTTGTTGTATTAAAGCTGGAGGCTGGAGCTGAAATGCTGAATCCTTAGCTTCTATGTTCGCACTATTGGAAATACATGTTTACTCGCATACTTCAGATTTATTCTGTGGTGAACTTAAAGCCTTGGCAAACATGTTTGTTAGATTATTTTTTCGTAAGTCAGCTATATAGAATTGATTGTGAAATTATCATGAATCATGGTAACATGTATGTTGGCACTCTGTTTCCAACTTGTAGCATATATAAGCATTTCTGTTCAGGTGTGGAGTTTGATCTTTTGTAGCCTGAACAAGCATGCTGTGCCTCAATGTTGTCACTCTAAACCGGAGCATAGGAGTCTTTGGAGGACAACATAATAATACTGCTAAGGGCCTATATTCTTTTTTGCACAAACTGTTGAAATAGTTATCTCGCTCCTCCTAGCCTTGTCTTTCATTTTCATTACTTGTTGCATGTTTGGTTTATAGTTTTACCACTATCATATTCTGGCAATGCTGTTCATTTTTTTTTTCTGTACTGCATTCAACCATTCATTTGGGTAATGATCATCAAAACTGATTCTTGCAGCGTTTTTGAAGCTGAAAGGCCAGGATACAAATTTTCTGTGCAGCAACGGATAGGAACATACTTTTTCAAGGTAACTTTGTGTTTAGTGACTATTTTCCCCAGAAATTTTATAAACTATAACTATCTCTTTAAATGTCTGAAATATTATTTGTGAACAGGGAATATTGTATGGTTCTGTTGGATTCTTTTGTGGTCTTGTGGGACAAGGGATTGCTAATTTGATAATGACAGCCAAACGGTATGTTCTCTTGTACTATATCTGGTAATGTGCATGCTTACCATGTTCATAGTTTTACTTCCTCATCTTGTTATTCTGTTTAACATACATATATGTTAGTAAGAAAATCATGTCTCAAGGCTCATGATGCTAATGTTTCCTTTACTTTATCTGGCTATGGAATGTATTTGAGTTTTGACGCTGCAATATGGTGTTTACTTACATGACCACTGGCAGTTTGTTCTAAACCTTCTACATTTATAGAGGGTCTATTTCTGATTTCTTGATCAGTGTGAAAATTATTGCCTATTGCCCTATTTCGATAAGTATGCCGAGTGTTAGGTGATAGCCAAAGATTAAGGTGTGTATGGTGATGAAACTTAGCAATCTCTTTCACAAATTGTTTGTGTACTATTCATGAATCTCAGATTTAATTATTTCCTTCAAATTTGTACCTCAGGAGTGTTAAGAAGTCAGAGGATGATGTACCTGTTCCACCTCTTCTCAAGACTTCTGCTTTGTGGGGTAAGGCTGTCCAGACAATTTCTTATCATAATTTCATATCTCAATTGTTTGCATGTTGACATTACTGATTAAAGTTTCTCCTTCATCCCTGTATAGTTGAATTAAATATATGTAGGTTTCCATGTGAATTTCTACACTAAACACCTATATGTTTCGGATACATGATCAAATGCGAAACTTTAATTTGCAATAAATATATGCATGTTAGTGTCTAAATATTTTACACAACAAAGGAAAAAACTGATTTCATTCATCTTGCTGGATCCTGCATGCATAAGTGATTTCATACCTTCCTGTATTGAACGTTTCTGAACTGCTTATTTTGTTTGTTTAGTTGATTTTGTTTTGAACACTGATAGTGGATTAAGATTTGTGAAGCTATAATGAAGGTTATATTGAGCGAGCGAGAATATTTCTATTCAAACTATCAAAGCTATGTGGTATGACTATGATCAGAGCAATTGATATTTAGCAGGTGACCGCATGATGCTATGTCATTGTCTCACTGTTGTGGTTCAAATGCATGTGATTAAAGTCTCCTATGATAACATAATTATAAGTTTACATTGTTGTACCTGTTGTCAAAATCTGCAGTTCTTGTTTAGCTAAGCTTTATTTACTGTAGCCAATGAAGGCAGGTTGATACTCTTAGAGTTTTGATAATGATAGATAGGTTTTGTACCTCGCTCTTTCCTGATTGTATCTTCTGAAACCCTGTAAAGTGTAAACAATAATGGACCTGATTTTTGCAGGTGCGTTCCTTGCTGTTTCTTCCAACACACGGTACCAGATTATTAATGGATTAGAGCGCCTGGTTGAGGCTTCACCTGTTGCGAAGCGTGTCCCAGCTGCTTCTTTGGCATTCACTGTTGGTGTGCGGTTTGCCAATAACGTGTATGGAGGAATGCAGTTTGTTGACTGGGCAAGAATGAGTGGTTGTCAATGAGGTGCAGGCTTTCATTTTCATGGTGAGAATCTTCCTTCTGCTATACATGCATGTTACCCCCTATAAGTGTAGCTCTCTTCTCTTGATGTAGCCAATGGCCAAAATTATGCCAATAACACTGATGCTTCTTATTGCAGTCACCATTCACTGTGATGCTGTATTGCTGTTGCTTGCTGTCAGCTATTTGTTATTCCACCCAAATTTGTCGAATTTTCATCATGACAAAGTCAAAGATGCGATATAAATATCTTGGAGGCAGAAGATCTCAAAAATAAATGTGGAGGTTTCTAAGAGAATTGAGGAGTTTAGCATTAGGAGTGCTTAGGGCAAGGGAGAGCCAGAACAGATTGAATTGCTTGTTTTGTTGTTGAAGATGTCACCATCTTGAATCAATTGACTGGCTGTCTCCATATTTTGATATGTTATCTGGACTATTTTGGAAGTCCACTATCTTGTCACTTAATTTATTAGTTTTATGGTACTAGTGTTAATTTTGATACGTGGGGTCTAAAGTACAAGATGGCATGTCACTTATGATGAACCCAAAAGTAATACTCGTGTGGATTGACATTTGCGCCCTGAGCAGCTGGAAAGATGCACTAGTTTGGTTGAATAGTCATTCTGGTCCTCAACTATTGTCTGAGTCTTAGTTTTGTTCCCCATGAACTGAATTATTGTGGTTTCTCTATGTCAGATTGCATAGTTTTCAAGCGGCAGTACTTCTGTGAAAGCAAAGTTGAGAAATTCAGCTTACGTCCTTGTTTGTTTCCGTGGAATTGAATCTTTTTTTTAAGAATCAAGAATCACATTCCATTTTAGATCTTTATTGAAGTGTTGTTTCCGGTGAGAGCTTCACGGCAGCAGTGAGGGTTCCCCATAAGGATTTTTTGTTTGTTTGTTTGTGTCTGGACTCATGAGAGATGAGTGGAGGAGATTGGGCCGTGGGTACTACCCCTCTTTCCATTTCTTACCTTCTGATTTTGACATAGGTCTGTACTTAAGATTTGGAAACTAGATTTGAATTTAGTCCTAGTGAAAAGATCCAAACGGGCCATTAATTTCTTTCAGTTAGTTGTAGGTATTGCGGCAGGTTGGCCAAAGAGGTTGGCTATATGTGAATCTGCAAGAGAAGAGAGAATGCAAAGGAAAGGGCCAAACCATGTAAGGGTCTGAAAGAGCAAAGACATGGCTGATGCGTTTATTCAGCACCTGGGGAATGTTGATGGCTTCTTCTTGCGATGTCTTGGATGCTCCATTCGCTGAAGCAGAGTCATGCGTTCGGCTATACAATTCCAGTTGACGCTGGCACATGGGACGGGTTCTTCTGTAAACGGATGCACAAAATCTGAAGACAGCAACTCGTCGTTCCATCGACTTTGAAGATCGTGATTCTTATGGCACGAACTGGTTTCGAATGATATGGTGTCCTTGCTGATTACTACTGACCTTGCTGGCTCATTGGCCTAGTAGAATGGAGTGCATTTGGAGAAACAGAAAAAAACTGACAAAGATCCGCTTGATTTTGCGACCTTCCATGCTCGCAATGCAGACAAAATCAGACCTGGGACTGCTACAGATAACAGATCTATCAACTATCAAGCAGTAGTTGAGATCGGGGACAATTTCATACTATCAAGTTGAGAGACCAACCAGCTGCTGAGCTCCATCTCATCATTGCTTCATTCTAGGCACATATCTGACCAACTTCGCATGCACAAGTACAAAGGCCCGCCAATTGCAGATAAAACCACAACAGATTCACTTACTCGAAACAAGCACACTCCAAAACACAAATCATAATATCACACGGATTTATATATTTTAATCTACAAAAGTCAGCTGCAATGTTCCTCTGGACGTCTCTCAGCATCACCACCAATCACACACAAGATGGAAGGATCACATAGACAAGATCTGATTGAAACATCAGATTCCGCTCCGGACACTCGTGATTTGGTGTGTTCTTGATCTGCTAGCGACTAGCGTGTGAATGCGTAGAAGACGATGCCGATGTAGATGAGCATGGCGGAGGGGACAAGGGTGACGAGCGGCACGACGGCGGCCCAGGCGGCGGCCCCGCCGGCGCCGCACCCGAGGCGGCCGAGCTTCACCTGCACCACGTTGACGAGGGCCATCATGAGGAAGCCGCACCCCACGACGGAGCCCACGGCGGACGCGAGGATCCCGACGCGGAGCGCGGCGCGGTTGATCCGCGCCGTCCGGCCTAGGACGACGCCCGCGCCCACGGCGGCGGAGGAAGAGGCGGCGCGGCGGTGGCCGGGGTAGGTGCGGACGAGCTGCTTGAGGCAGAGCGCGACGAGGCTGGAGAAGAGGAAGCAGGCGAAGGCGAGGACGTGGAAGGAGACGAGGTCGGACTCGGCGCGGTCCCCCGCGGCGCAGGGGTTCCCCGTGCGCGGGTCGGCGCCGTCCGCGAGCCCCGGCCCGTCGGAGGAGGGCCGCCACGCCAGGCCCAGGAACGCGGCCAGGGTGAAGAGCGAGTTCACGTTCACGATGCCGTCCAGCGCCGTGATGTGGATGCTGGTGCCCCGGCCGCCCCCGCCGCTCCCGCCGCCGCCGCCGCCCCCGGTCGCGACGTCGCCGCCGTCCATGGCGGCTGCTTTGCTGCTTCTTTGGATTGGGGAGACTGTGGTGAGGTGGGTTTGGGGATCGGACTGGGCACTGTGAAGTCCCCCGAGCTAGAGAAGCGTGATGGTCGGCTGGTCGGTGAGCACGTGTGTCCATATGACGGACACGGACCAACCTCAGGTGCGAGATGGGAGAGTGGGTGGGGTGCGACGGAACAAAGGAGAAAGCGTGTCGACACTGCGAAAGTTGATTGGTACCCCAAAAAAAAAAATCATCTTTAGACTTGTCTTAAATTATTTTTTTAATTTGATCGAATTTATAAAAAACAAAGATTGACGATCGTATCATTAGATTAGATAATTGGATATTAGATGTATGGTTGAGTATCAGAAATCCGAAAATTTATTCATATATACTAGTATTATTTTCCAATATAGATGTGTGGGATATCACAGTTAATAGTTGTACCGACAATTGTTGTTCACATGGCTTTAGATGTATAACACTAGCACGGCACTGTGTCACTAGAGCTGGTGCGGTGCGGGTGCAGCTTCAGCGAAAGCTGCTGCAGTGCTGCACCGATTCACCGAACAATCTCATCACTATCACGCGCACCATTCACATTCTAGCTTCGATCTAACGTGAACTTGAAATACGCAAGTACGTGTGTACACCGCTAATTTGCTTCTAATATAATAGATAAGTATATCCAACGTTATTCATGACCAGAGTCGGACTCTATAAAAAAAAAAGAAAAACTGGAGCGTTGTATATGATACGATCCAAATGTGAATGACACCCATTTTAAGAGCGCAAAGAGAGCTGAAGTTCAAGGGCAATCCGGGGAAAAAATTCAGCCCGATCTGGCCCAACCTGAATCCCTAGCCCATCATGAAACATGTGACAAATTGGCCTGTAGACCGGGCCTGATAATAATTTCCTGGTTCCAAAAACTTTTGCATGGGTCCATACGATGAAAAGTTTATTTATTTTGGCAAAAAAAAAGGCTGAGTGGCTAGCCCGAGCATTGGTATGTGGGTTCCGTTTGATAGTCTAGAGGTGTATTTATTTTAGCTTTTGAGCTGGCTTTTAAAAAATTGAAAAACTAACTGCTGAGTACATACATAAACTAAAACCTAAAAAACACGTTGAGACCTGCCCATGCAAGAGAACAGAGAGCATCTGACTGTTTGCCATTGCAGATGCCTTGAGCCTTTCCTGACATGCTGCTGATTTTGTTAGCCAGATGGGACTATACTAGATAAAAACAACAACCTTGATTTTTTTCAGCACTTCTGAACTCACATACTCCCTCTGTCCCATTATGTGTCATTTTAGCTTTCTACCAAATATACCAAAGATTCTCTAAACCTAGACATAGGGTTTGTCCTGATACATGGAACATTGTGTGAATCTAGACATCCAAATAAACTGCCAGAATGACAAAATAAAGTTGGTGAAACTTGACGAGGGTGAGGCATATCATATCTGTCAACCTGGAAATAGTCAGCTAAAAAAATCCCAGTATATCATTGTTTTACAGAGAGCTTCTCTCTTGTGCACATCACCTAGATATCTCAAGATATCAAGATACACTGAGACTCCTTCTCATGTTAGGTAACTAGATTCAATTTCCTTCCAGTAGTATTAATTTGTATTTCCTACGAGTGGTATTTCTTATAAATTGGTATCTTTAAGCATCTAGTTACTTTTCATGCCTATGTTTGCATTTACATGCTTATATCTTTTGTCAAGCATACACTAGGTATATCTTATGGTAGGCTTGCTCGGTTTCATTCTTAACTCTTGGAGCAAACCTACATGGTTTACAATTATTTAGGAGCACGGCACATAGCTTGTCTTTTGATTGTTCATCTAATATGTGCCAAAATCCAAATTGTAGATAATTTCTCCCGAATATTATCTTCGAAAATAATTCTCACATTCATGAGATGTCATCTTTCAACTGGTATTATTAATTCTAAAATCAATGTGCATGACTTCTACAAGTATCCCACACTTGTGTGCACAAATTTAGGGGGATGTTACTTTACAAGTTGGATGCTTTGAGACTAACACCTTTTCAAACTTATCATGTGTGTAGTAGTCTCATTGCAAGGAAAATGGAGTCCACGGAGTTAAGCATCATACTTTAAATATCCACCACCTATTGCAAGTGGTAGAAATCAAATTGATTTTCACATGTGGTATTTGTAAACCGATATCATCATGTTGATTTCATTTTAATATTTATATGCTTTCTCCATGCATTATATAGATTAAATTTTCTTGAGCAATAATTTGCCAAATATGCATATGCCTTGCTTTCTACTATATGTATGCATATATTTAGGGGAAGCTTAATCTATATAATGTGAGAGTCAAATTTTGTTACCTATTTCACTCTACACACAAAGGATCACAAAGTTTGACCCTCCCTTGTGCTACAAATGTCTTCCTTTTTTGTGTTTGATTCCAAAGGGAGAGAATTTAGAGGACCAAAAGGAAGCATTAACTTGTAGGGCCATATGCTAGATCATAATAATTTACAAGTGGTAATGGTCTACAAGTGATAATGGTCCGAGAAAGGGAGGATAGTGGATTATGGATTAGTCTATGTAATGAGGAGAATTTGTAGAAAGCAAGGCTTAAATCCATAATGCCACATGGGGACATTTTGCAAGGGCAAGATAAGTTTTATGTAGTATCTTTTAGTCTTACAAGTAGTATCTTTTAGCATCATATAACCTTGCCCCTTGCATTGCATCCTAGCAAGTAGATAGTTTTTAAATTCTAAATTTTTATTATTTGCTTGCTTTGGTCATGTTGTCATCAATCACCAAAAAGGGAGAGATTGTAAGGAAAATGGACCCTTGGCCCATTTACTTTGGATTTTGGTGTTTGATGACCAACACAACTAACTTGGACTAATGAATTTGCAAGTGATTGTTTTGTAGTTCAATAGGATGCAAGACGTGACTTGGATGAAGGCAACGTGATGATCCGATGATCAACACCATAAGCAAGACCTTAGAAGCACAAGAGAAGACTCAAGATATCAAGCAAAGTCCAAGCACGAAGATAGGAACCAAACCGGATGCAAGATCGTGATGAAACGAGCTCACAGAGGTGATCGGACGACTTTTGCCGGATTTGGACAGCTCTGAGAGGTGACCGAACATTTGGACGACTCAGGAGAGGTGACCGGATTTGGACCGGACGACTGACGACAAAGTGACCGGACGCTAGGTGCTAGAGTCCGGTCAACATCAGTAAGGTTCCAGAGAGCCGTTTTCGTGACCGGACGCTGGTCAGAGTCCGGTCAGTAGCAGAAAAGTAGGATTTCGTCCCCAATGACTACTTTCTCAGTGGGGCTTATAAATAGACCCTCAACCGACCATTTGAGTAGTGTGGAGCTGAGGAAACATATCTAGGGTGTTGATACACCATTTTAGTGATATCCACTTGCATAGTGCTTAGTGTTTCATTAGGTGATCAGCGTAGGTGCTTTGCGAAGTGCTTAGGTTGATTAGACCACCGCTTATGTGCTTGCTCTAGGTTTACGCCTAGTGTTTAGTGAGGTTTGAATACCTCTTACCACTCGGTGCTTGCGCGCACCATTGTTGTACATCGGAGGGGCTTGTAGTCTTGCGAGATCACACCAACCGTGTTTGTGGTATGGCCACCACCGTGTACCGGAGGGAACAAGGCCTGCGGCATTTTGGCTGGAAGCTTGATAGTGAAGACGGCGGAGAGCATCCGGGAGATGCTTGCCGAAAGGCACGTCAGAGACCCACTTGCATGTGGGGAAGACCTGAGGCTATCCACGAAGTTACCCGACCGAGAGCTTGGCCCTTGCGAGAGATTCCTTGCGAGGGGCTCCAACGAGGACTAGGGGAAGCTTGCTTGCTTCTTGATACCTCGGTAAAAATACCAGAGTCGTCGACGGGAGTTTGCATATCTCTGACTTGCTCTTTAGCTTTCGCATTTACATTGATTGCATTACACCTTTTGCGGTAGAGATAGCAACACACTAGCAAAACCGTAGTTGCACATTTAGATAGTTTATCTTTTGTATAGGTTTTGCTAAGGTTAGAACAAGAGGCCATAGTTTAGAGTTAGATTTTTAAGTTGCCTAATTCATCCCCCTCTTAGGGGTCACGGTCCCCTACAAGTGGTATCAGAGCCGGTTTTCTCAATTTGGACCTTTGGCTTAACCGCCGTTGAGCTGACGCTTTTTAGAGTGGTTGGGATGGATACCTCTAGGCCTCCACACTTTGACAGCACTAACTTCCCCTATTATATAGCTAGAATGGCTTGCTACCTTGAGGCAGTTAATTTGGGTGTTTGGAGAGTCACTCGTGACGGGATGAAAACCATTAAGAATCCCGATAAACCCACGAAGAGTGAAGAAAAGAAATTCATTTCAATGCTAGAGCTAAAAATTGCTTGTTTGAATCTTTTAGTATGGACGTGTTTAATCAAGTGTTCACTTTAAATATGGCACATGAAATTTGGTTAAAACTCTAAGAGCTCCATGACGGCACATCTAATGTCCGTGAGCAAAAACATTATCTAGCTAAACAAAATTATGATTCCTTTACAATGAATGATGATGAGCTTGTTCGTGATATGTATTCTCGTTTGAATCTAATTATCAATGAGCTCCATTCAATAGGACTAACAAAGCTAGATGATGTGGTCATCGTGAGGAAGATCATCTTCGTGCTACCCTAAAAGAAATATGCAAGCAGCATCACCATCCTTCACAACATGGAGGACTTGAGCATCATGACCTCAGCCATAGTCATTGGCAAGATAGTGGGATTTAAAATGTCACGCAAGATAGGTCAAGAAGAAGCCTTTTCATCAAGCAAAGGCAAAGCTCTCGCATGTAGCGAGAAAAAAAAGATGAAGGGCAAGCAAGTTGAGACAAGCTCAAGCTCAAGCTCCTCAAGTGAAGATGAAGAAGAAGATGAGGACAATGATGATGATGATGATTCAAGTGAAGATGATCAATCTT